AGCCGGTGGGGAGGCTCGGGCTGGTTGGCCAACTGTGGCGGAGAAGGCAGAGGTGACCTCTGTGGCTGGCGAGGATGGCGGCCTCCGCATGCTCACCCCGGTGGAGTGTGCCTGCACGCCTTGGGCGGCAGAGGTGGCTGACCTCGGGTTGGGGCCTCCCCCTGTCCCCCTCCTCTCCGCAGGTCCTCTCGGCAGCCACCATTGTGGCCAAACACACGTCTGCCCTCTGCAACACCTGCCGCCTGGCCTCCTCCCACACGGCCAACCCCGTGGCCAAGCGCCAGTTTGTCCAGTCGGCCAAGGAGGTGGCCAACAGCACCGCCAACCTGGTCAAGACCATCAAGGTAACGGGGGAGCCCGCCCTCCCGCCAGGCTGATTGGGGGGGGCAGGCCAGAGGGGTGGGTCTGGCCTCCCTCCGAAGGGAGTGGCTCTTCCTCCTCCAGTGGAGGATTCAGACTTTGCTCGGGGGGGGGGGAAGGGGGGGAGGCAAGGCCCGGGGGCTTGGCTCCGCCCCACCGTGGCCAGGGCTGGGGGCTGCTTACAGGGAGACCGGAAGAGCCTGGCCAGGCTCCCAGGCAGTTTTCCTTCCATCACCTCCATGTTTTTTGAAGCCACGCAGAGGAATCTGTGCATTAATGTACGGAGCTGCCTTCTGCTGACTCAGAGAGGATGGGCCCACCTGCTTGGTCACGCCTGCTCTGACAAGGGCCTGAGAACAAGAGAGAGGCTTTCCCAGCCAGGCCCACCTGAGAATGCTGCTCCGGGGGGGGGTGGGGGGTGCTGGCTGCATGCTGAGCCCCACTCTTTCTCTCTCTCTCTCTCCCCCCCGCCTCCCCCAGTAGCTACCGGGAAGGAAGGGAGGGAGGCTTTAATCGGATTCAACAGGCCTGTCAGCCGCGTTGAGTCAAGAGGAAAGTTTGGATATAATGTAGTTGATTTGATTATTTTTTTAAAAATTTTTTTTGCTCCTCCTGTCTTATAAAATTATACGAAAAAGAAGATCTAAAAGGAGGGCTTACAATCATAGAATCGCAAGAGTTGGAAGGGGCCCTACAGACAGACCATCTAGTCCAGCCCCCTGCTGCCCAATGCAGGACCAGCCTACAGCATCTCTGACAAATATTCGTCCGGCCTCTTCTTGAAGGCTGCCAGTGAAGGGGGGAGCTCACCACCACCTCCCTGGGCAGCTGATCCCACCTTTGAACCACTCTGTGACCGTGGAAAAGCTCTTCCTAATATCCAGCCGATACCTTTCTGCATGCAATTGAAACCCGTTGCTTCGGGTCCTGTCCTCTGCTGCCAATGGGAACAGCTCCTTGCCCTCCTCCTCCTCCCAATGACAGCCTTTCAGATATCTAAAGAGAGCCATCCTGTCCCCCCTCCGTCTCCTCCAAACTAAACATTCCCAAGGCCCTTACAGCCTTTCCTCGCAGGGCTCAGTCTCCAGACCCCTGATCGTCCATGTCGCTCACTTCTGCACCCTCTCAGTTCTGCCCACATCCTTTTTGTGGAAGGGAGGCCTCCAGAACAGGCTTTTTTCTTACTGTGAAGGAATGGACACACAAGCCTTCCTTTGGGTTCACACCCAGGAGGTCAGAAAAACTGTTCAGACAATTTACTTGGAGGGGACAAAAGAGAGATCCGTAGATCTGAAGCGGAGCTGGAGCGTGGCTGATGGTTCATCCTGGGGCAGTGCTGAGTGGCCCGCTCTGTGGGACTGTTGTGCTGTGAGGTTGGCCTGAGGCCGCACGGGTTTCTCTCCCCATAGGCTCTGGACGGGGCATTCACTCCCGAGAACCGAGAACGCTGCCGGGAAGCCACAACTCCCCTCATTGAGGCTGTGGACAATCTGACCGCCTTTGCCTCCAACCCCGAGTTTGCCACGGTCCCTGCCCAGATCAGCCCGGAGGTGAGTGGTGGCTGGACCGGCACCCTGCAGAGCCCAGCCCTGACCCCCCCTCCCCCCCGGGGCAGAGGTGTTTGTGTCTTGGGCACTGCGTGGGGGGAGCAGAAGGCAGGTCGCAGGAATCTCCCGGCCTTGGCTGCTTAGAGGGAGAAGGTGCTGCCCTCCCTTACCCATGGGCGTGTTCCCCTCCCAGGGGCGCAGAGCCATGGAGCCCATCATCGCCGCCGCCAAGACCATGCTGGAGAGCTCAGCCGGCCTCATCCAGACTGCTCGCTCGCTGGCTGTCAACCCTAAGGACCCCCCCAAGTGGTCAGTGCTGGCGGGGCACTCGCGGACGGTCTCCGACTCCATTAAGAAGCTGATCACCAACATAGGCAAGTGGGGGGGGGGGGATGCTGCTGCTCCCGGGTCCCGAACGGACGAAGGTGCCTCTTGGATCGCGTCAGGCCCGCCCGCCTGCCCGCCCGTGCTCTAGCCAGGAGGGTCTGGCCAGCCAGCCAGCCAGCCCGCTCTCCAGGGCCTTGTTCAGAGAGAGGGCCATTCCCAGTCCCTGCACGCCCTGGACCGGGACCCCTCTGGGGCGGCCTCTGCACGCCCTGGGCCGCCCTCCGTCCTGTGGCAGACTCTGGGTAGGCTCGAGGAGTGGGTGTGTGCCGCTAGTGCTGTGCACGCGGGGCTCGTCCTCCCGAGGCAGAAGATATGGGGTCTGCACCTTGAGGACGTGGGCCGTTGGCATCCGATGTCCCGAAGGCTAGTGCTGTGGGCGCCTCTTGGTCTTAGACCTGGCCCAGCAAGCAGAGCTCATCGGGCTCTGGAACCCAGCCCCCGGCAGGCCCAGAAGAGGGGCGGAGGCAGCTCAGTGCAGAGGGGGGGGGGGGGAGCAGCACTTGGCTTTGCTGCGTCGGCAGAGGGCAAAGAGGCCTCCCCTCCTGCTGCTCTCCGGGCTCCAGGCTGGCGGATGTGTCTTCTCCGTCCTTGAAGGGGATTAGTTCTCTGCGTGGCCACCTGTCTCTCTGGCCCCGAGTCAGCCTCACATTCCACACGGACACCTCAGTTGCCTTTCCCCTCTCGACGGACAGTGCGCGCACGGTGGGAATGTGGGCCGGCCTGTATGGGAGCAAGGAACAGCTTCCTCGGATAGCTGCAAAGGGGCGCCGTGTTGGCCGGGCGGTAGAACAGCCAGGGGGGCCCATCCACGAGCACCTTGGAGGTTTTCAGGGCAGGAGAGCCTTTCAGGGCAGTCGAGAGCTCAGCTGCCGTCAGAGACGAAGGGCCTCCTGTGACTTGTTGGTCTCCAAGGAGCCACTGGACTCAGACCCGGCTCCCTGGGAGTTTCAGCTCTCTTGTTTTAAAAAGGGACGGCTTTCTAGTCCTGACGGGTCACTGAGGCCTGCTGAGGACTTTGAGACCTGGCGTGAGGAGGGGGGTGCGGGGAAAGAGACGGGATCCAGCGAGGGACAAGCGTCTGCAGAAGGGATACGGTGCAGAGCCAGAGGGATTCCTCCCCCCGTGACCTTGTTGTAGGACGAGGGTGATGGGAGGTTGCAGATTTTGGCTTTGGGGCCCTGGGTTTGGATTCCGTGTGTGCTGAATGGGGGTTGTTACCTAAGCACTGTCCTGCCGGGGGCCGGAGAGACCACTGGTTTTTTTTTTGCTGCCGCCGCCACCACTGAATTCTGAATCCCGGGGGGTGGGGGGGGTGCAGCGGGGGGGGAGTGCAGCAGGAAGGAGCTCTCTGAGCTGGGTGGGGCCCCGGGGGGGGGGGAGAGGCCGTGCCGGGCGGGTGAACAGATGGCGGCTGTCTCTGCAGGGACAAGGCGCCCGGGCAGCGGGAATGCGACGAGGCTATTGAGGTGCTGGCCAAGTGCATCCGGGACGTGGACCAGGCCTCCCTGGCAGCCATCAGCCAGCAGCTGGCCCCCCGCGAGGGCATCTCCCAGGAGGTGAGGGGGCAGCGCTTCCCGTCCCAGGCAGGCAAGAGGGTGTCCGAGGGTCTCCCCGCGGTGGCAAGTCCTGCCGTGTGGCTTGATGGCCAGCCAGAGCGGTCCCTGGCCAGCGGAGAGGACCCTGAGTTTCCCACATCTTCTGGGATCCAGACCGCCCCGCTTCTTGGCAGTTGTCCTGGGAGGGGGGGGGCCGTGTGGACCTGGTGGGCCCCGGTGCGCTCCCTGCTCCTGAGGCCGCAGAGCGGAGGGGCCTTTTGGCTCCCTAGTGGGACAGCCCTCCCCGGCCCCTCACCTCCCCCCCCCCCGCTCTTCCAGGCCTTGCACGACCAGATGCTGATGGCTGTGCAGGAGATCAGCAACCTCATTGAGCCAGTGGCCAACGCTGCGCGAGCTGAGGCCTCCCAGCTGGGGCACAAGGTAATCACTGGGCTCCGGTGGGGCAGCGGGAGGGCAAGAGGCGCTGCAGAGGGAGGGGGCATCACACACATGGAGCGGAGCTCAGGGCTGCCTTTTGAGGAGAGGGGCTGGAGGAAGGACCGGGTGGCCCCTCCTGCGGTGCTCAGGCAGTGTGACGGGGGACTGGGGTTAGGGCAGTTTTCCGGGACAGCGTAGAGAGATACGGTGCAGGGTGTAGGCGGTGCCGAAGAAGGGGCAGCGGGGATGCTAGTGTGAGGATCGGCACGTGGAGCAAGGGCAAAGCCCAGACCAGCGAGGTTCCTCTGGATGCCTTGTTAGCCTCCCCCCCGCCCCCGTGCGAGGCCAGAGCCGGGGGTCTTTGCCCAGCCAGCCTGGGGGCTGGTGAAGAGGCACTGCCGTGGAGCAGACGGGGGTGCGAGAGGCGGCTGTGCAGCTAAAGGAGTGGGGAGGCAACAAGATGAGCGCCAGCCGCCCGGCCCTTCCCAACCCCCCCCCCGCTACCCCTGGTCCTGGCCGCCGTGGGCGCCGCCTCCAAGACCATCAACCACCAGCAGCAGATGAACCTTCTGGACCAGACCAAGACGCTGGCGGAGTCCGCCCTGCAAATGCTCTACACGGCCAAGGAGGCCGGGGGCAACCCGAAGGTGTGTGGGGGTGGGGTGTGTGTGTGGGGGGGGTGGCAACGGAAGGTCGCCCGGGGCCACTGTAGCCTGGAGGCCCCGTCTGGCGTCCACCTAACGGTTGGGGAGGGGCAGAGGAGGCCTGCCGCGGCCCCCCGGGGGCCCTTGTGTCCCGAGCGGCTGCTGCTGAGCCCCAAGCGGTTAGGTGGCCCCCCCGGCGTCTGACGCCTGCCCCTCTCTGCAGCAAGCAGCCCACACGCAGGAAGCCCTGGAGGAGGCCGTGCAGATGATGCAGGAGGCGGTGGAGGACCTCACGGCCACCCTGAACGAAGCCGCCAGCGCTGCAGGGGTGGTGGGGGGCATGGTGGACTCCATCACACAAGCCATCAACCAGGTGAGCCACGGGGAGGGCGAGGGGGGGGGTCGTGGGGGTGGCAGCCCTCCTGCTGGTGCTGGTGCTGGCTCTGAAGGCCCAGGGAGGCTGGGAGGGGAGGGGAGGGGGCGGCACTTCCGATGGAAGACCTTTCGTTTGAGGCCTTGTCGCTCAGAACCAGCACCTTGAACAGCAGCGGGGCTTGGAAGCCACTTGGAGCCAGGAGGTGGAACGCAGCTGGGGCCCGTGAGCTCAGCTCCAGCGCGATGGCTGCCCCCCACTCCCACCCCCACCCCCGGGGCTTCGGCATAAACAGTCCTCTCTCTCTCTCTCTCTTTCTCTCTCTAGCTGGACGAAGGCCCAGTGGGAGAACCTGAGGGGACGTTTGTGGATTACCAGACAACCATGGTGAAGACAGCAAAGGCCATCGCTGTGACCGTCCAGGAGATGGTGAGGCAGGGCAGGGGTGATGAGTCTGTTGCCCTCCAGAAGCAAACGCCCTCTGCAGGCAGGCCCTCCCCCCGGACCTGGAGGGAGGGGAGGGGAGGGGAGCGGGGGGACTCCTGGGTCGGGGCTCCTTCGCGGTCCCATCACCCCTTTTGCTCTGCAGGAGATCCTTCCTGCCCCTCCTGTCTCTTCCCTGGCTGCCACCTCCCTCTCCCCCCCCCCTCTCTCTCTCTCTCTTTGCAGGTCACCAAGTCCACCACCAACCCCGATGAACTGGGCACGCTGGCCAACCAGCTTACCAGTGACTATGGCCAGCTGGCGCACCAAGCCAAGCCCGCTGCCCTCACTGCTGAGAACGAGGAGGTGAAGGCTGGGGGGTGGATCCGGTTGGGGCAGGGAATCGAGACCTCTTACTCTGGGGGCATGGGGGAGAGGGGCGCACCGATCAAGGTGGTGGACACTTTCCTGGAGGCATTCTGCAGAAGACCGGAGGGTTTTTGCCATTGGGGGAGGGGGCTCCAAGAACGTTGCCTGCCTGCATATTCCCGCTTATGATCCTTTGAGACAGAGGTGCTGCCAGAGCAAATGTCTTGGAACAGGAGCTCTGGGCGGGGGGGGTTGCGAGAGTCCACGGCTGCTGTGAGTCACCAACTCTACGGGGTGTGGCATATGGCGTGGAGAGGAGAGGAGGCCAGGGAGCAGAGGAGCCGGGGAGGTGCATTTGGGGTGGGAGGAGGCAGCTCCCGCCCCAACTCATTCCCCCCCCCTCCCTTTCTCTGTCCCCAGATTGGCTCCCACATCAAGAACCGGGTGCAGGAGCTGGGCCACGGCTGTGCGGCCCTGGTGACCAAGGCGGGGGCTCTCCAGTGCAGCCCCAGTGACGCCTACACCAAGAAGGAGCTGATTGAGTGCGCCCGCAGAGTCTCGGAGAAGGTACCCTGCCGGGAGGGGGGAGGGGGCAAAAGGGGAAAGGAGCACAGCCCCCCCCCCAGGCCCTGCCCTGTCATCTCCTATCCTGGTTGGATCCTGCTTGAGCCTGGTGGTGCACGGGGAGGCCTCCTTGGATGGCCCAGGGCGGGAGCGTCCCCCAGCATCCCCTGCACCCGAGCTGGGTGGGAGGGGAGGGGAGGGGAGGCAAGCCCACAGAATGCTGGAGGCCAGGTGTGTTTTCTGCTGCCAGCTTGGTGTCGTGGTTAAGTGTGCGGACTCTACTCTGGGAGAACCAGGTTTGATTCCCCACGCCTCCACTCGCAGCTGCTGGATGACCTTGGGCAAGCCATAGTTCTGATAACAGCTGTTCTTGAAAAAAAGAGCAGTTTCTGTCAGAGCTCTCTCAGCCCCACCTGGCTCACAGGGTGTCTGTTGTGGGGAGGGGAAGGGAAAGGAGTCTGTAAGCCGCTCTGAGACTCTGAGTAAACAGTGGGGTATAAATCCAATCTCCTCTTCCTCCTCCTCCTTCTCCAGTTTGGTGTAGTGGTTAAGTGTGCGGACTCTAACCTGGGAGAACCGGGTTTGATTCCCCACGCTTCCACTTGCAGCTGCTGGATGACCTTGGGCAACCCACAGTTCTGTCAGAGCTGTTCTTGAAAAAGAGCAGTTTCTGTTAAGACCTCTCTCAGCCCCACCCACCTCACAGGGTGTCTGTTGTGGGGAGGGGAAGGGAAAGGAGTCTGTAAGCCGCTCTGAGACGCCTCTGGGTAGTGAAGGGCCATGGGGTATGAATCAAATCTCTTCTTCTTCTTCATGTGTAGTGGTGAAGTGCGCGGACTCTAATCTGGGAGAACCGGGTTTGATTCCCCACTCCTCCTCCACTTGCACCTGGCTGGATGGCCTTGGGCAAGCCGTAGTTCTGACAGGAGCTGTTCTTTAAAAAGAGCCGTTTCTGTCAAGAGCTCTCTCAGCCCTACTGACCTCACAGGGTGACTGTTGTGGGGAGGGGAAGGGAAAGGAGTCTGTAAGCCGCTCTGAGACTCCTCTGGGTAGTGAAGAGCCATGGTGTATGAATCCAATCTCCTCCTCCGCCTCCCCCCTGCAGGTGTCTCACGTGCTGGCCGCGCTACAGGCTGGCAACCGTGGCACCCAAGCGTGCATCACAGCCGCCAGTGCCGTGTCGGGCATCATCGCCGATCTGGACACCACGATTATGTTTGCGACAGCCGGGACCCTGAACCGTGAAAATGCAGAGACCTTTGCTGATCACCGGTATGGGAGCCTCGGGGACGACCGTCTCTAGGGATGCTCGGCAGATGAGGAAGCCCCCCCCTCCCCCTCCCCCTCCCGAGTGGCTCACGCCCAGCTCTGTGTGTTGCCTTTCCTTGGCAGGGAGGGCATCTTGAAGACGGCGAAGGCCCTGGTGGAGGACACCAAAGTCCTGGTGCAGAACGCCACAGCCAGCCAGGAGAAGCTGGCCCAAGCGGCCCAGTCCTCTGTGGCCACCATCACACGGCTGGCAGAGGTGGTGAAGCTGGGGGCGTCCAGTCTGGGCTCCGAGGACCCTGAGACTCAGGTACGGAAGGCAAAGGAAGGAAGGCGCCTGCTTCTCTTGTGCACCCACCCCCCACCCACCCACCCGTCTCTCCCTTGACCCAGGATCCCTCCTCTGCCCTCAGGTGGTCCTGATCAATGCCGTGAAGGACGTCGCCAAAGCGCTCGGGGACCTGATCAGTGCTACTAAGGCCGCCGCTGGCAAATCCGGAGATGACCCAGCTGTGTACCAGCTGAAGCACTCTGCCAAGGTGGGAGGCAGCACACGCGGGAGAGGCACTGCCGGGAAGGCTCGCCCCCCCTGGGAAGGCGGCTCAGTGGGAAGGCGGCGGGGCGCGGGCGGGCTGGGGTGTGGGGGCTATAGGAGTCG